TTGATAGCATGGCCCGATTGCATATACATGATAGCATTATCGTGATATACTGAGTATACATATTTGGTCGCATTAATCGGGCCCTTTAGGGGCGTCTCTTCGAGACATAGCATAACCAGATAGCGTATATATAGCATAGCTTGATAGCATATATATGATAGCATTAGCATTTACGTGATAGCGTATATATAACGAACTAGATAGCATATACTCTGGCTATACGCCTCTACAAATGATGCACAATTGCAATCGGTTCGTCAAACTCGCGATAAGGCTAACTCGGCATTTAATAATTAACATATAACTTAATGACAGAAATCAGCCACGATCACCAAACTAGCATACAAATAACGTTATCGAATTTGGGTTATAATAGAAAACGCGTCACTCGAATGACGGTACGTCTTAACCTAAATCGGGGAGTATCTTATAATCGAAATCGATTAGAAACATTAAATCTGTATACATTTTTTTTAGACTAAGTGGAAATAACAGGTTGGTATGTGTCGTGACGACAAAATCTTGACACCGTCGTCATGTGCCGTGACGATCAAATCTTGACACCATCGTCATTGAGTGGGAATAACCTAGACTAAGTGGGAACAACATAATTATGTTGTTCCCACTCATCTGTTTGTGTTTGCAAAAGGTTATGTCTAGGCAGCATAAAGCAGAATAAAAATTCCAATCTCATACATCTAATTGACAATAAGTTGGGCAATGGTCAGCTGTTCTCTTGTGGAAACAAAATTTAGTCATGATGAAATTGGTGCCACATTTACTTGTTTATTGAATAATTCTGATCTGACATATGTTACTATTACTTCGGAATTGACATCTGACGTACAACACTATTACTATTAAAATTAAGTTGAAGATTTTATCACATGACTTAATTATCTATTCGGCTTGGCCGTAACAGTAGTGTTCGTGCTGCTGATATAAAAGTACTGTTCGGGGGGGTTTACATAAAATAAGAGTCATCTGTATGGTTAATGATATTCGTGCCTCTCATTGTTTTCAATATTATTATAAAGTTGATTTCCCATTTTTGGTTCACGTAGTGAAATGTCTGCGCGGTCTGTTCCGAGCTTTGTTATAACTTCCCAATGCATGTTATATCGTAATGAAAATAGTTAAATATTACGCTCTAAAGAGTAAACAGTTCGTATTGTAATCGACAAATTTTCTTTGCGATATTACTGCGCCATACATAGACAATATAAAATATACAGTAAACTTTTGAATTGATGATCACTACTGATATTGGGATTGCTAGCGATAAAATTTTTCATGCAGCTGTCAAAGTAACTTGCGAGAAACGTGTAAATTCCTGACAGAGAGAGTCTCCGTTTGTGGAAACAAGGAATTGATTTGTCATGCAACACGGCAGCGCTCGAAACCGCTTCCTATAACCAAGTTATAATTCTTATATAAACGCCGATGATTGAGAACAGGTAACACACAGTCCTACATATCTAGCTAAAATTTTCATTCATTAATTACGAATTCGCGAAATAGTTGGCACTGGCGCCTATGTCCTACATTATGTTATGCGGATCATACTCGCGTAGGTTGCTATATTGTATACGTTTGCACACGCCGTAATACTTTGATATAGATAATGTGTCTCTTGTGTGCTGTTCAAAGAAGCATCCTTAAGCAGTGGGACAATTGCAGATCATTCTGCAAAAGAATGTTTGTGTATCGAATGTGGGCGTCGAAATGTCTTACCGATTGTCTCTCATTCTCATACCTTTTATGATGGATAGTGAAAAATTTTCAGCCCGCGTATTATTGGTTACTGAAATTGGGGACACCCCCCCCCCTCTGTATATAGAGGCTTGCTCACTATCAAACCATTCTCTCGTCCCCCCCCACTACTGACCACGTAACTTAAATACTGAATTACAGCGTGTGCAAGTGCGGGAGTCCTACTCAAACTATATTATAACCCGGAATACTTACACACTCTATATTTCAACGGACTTCCGAACCGTTGCAGTAACCTGTCAACAGATCGAAACTCGTATAATATACTATATTGGATCTCATGGCTACTAAAGTATCAGTTAACCAACACGCTCCCAAGGAGCAAACTGCATCATATAAACGCCCTGGTTTTGGTGATGAGGGGCCACAGGGCTCCAAGGACCGCAAGACAAGGGTGCTGACAAACATGTTTGAGTTAAAAACGGATCCAAACATGACCACATATCATCAGTATACCGTCGAATTTAAGCGGTATTCCATGCGCGAAGGCGAAGCAGCGCGCACAGAACCTCTTACCGGTGAATCTAATAATAACAAACGTCTTCGAAGACATATATTTGCCACGTTTCAAAAGAGACATCAGGACGACTTTTTCAGAAACGTTGGCGTTGCGTATGACGGTGGCCCTAATGTCTTTACAACTGGACAACTAGCTCTCAGGGGAAACAATCAAGCCAGTGAGCTCATCGAGTTGGAAGATGACCACGACCGTGCCGGCAAGCCAAACGAGTTTTACATTGATATCAGAGAAAACAACAATAAGCCAACAATCTCGCTTGATGATCTGAAAGTCGTCTTGTTGGGTGACACTTTCGAATGGACTTTTTTCAACAACTTGGGGCTGAAAATGCTCAATGCTTTTTTGCATCACAATCCCGCGTTACGATACGTACAATTTGGTGAATCAATCTTCGTTCCCGAAAACAGGAGTCAGCTTGGAGGGGGTGTGGACTTGTGGCAGGGAATTTTCGCAAGTGTTCGACCAGGAGAAGGTGGTGGAAAAGGTAAATTGAAAATTATCCACATGTTGGGTTAACTATAAGGTTGTGAGTTGAACTTGTAATAATATGTGTTGATTTCTCTATTCTAAAAAATAGGAAAACTATTTGCGAATGTAAATGTCACCTACACTACTGTTTATGAACCAGTCGATCTGGCTACGTGGTTGTGCAGATTCCTAAATTGCGAGAAAGTTCCAGCCAAACTTGAAAATAATATGCGCGAAAATATAAATAGTGTCTTGAAGCATATCAAAGTCCGTCCTCTTCATCGTCCGGATTGCAAGACAAAATATACCGTCGCTAAACTTGCTACCGTAACCGCAGATAAATACAAGTTCATGAACAACAAATCTGGAAAGGAGGAGACTGTTGCGGAATATTTCAAGGAAGCTTATAACATGACACTCAAATCTTACCATATGATCGAAACCGTTGGCTCGAGAAAGGACCTGATCCCGATTGAATGCTGTGGCATCGTTGAGGTAACATATTTTCAAGCATTCTAACAAAGCTGTTATTAGCAAAGAAGATTTCTGATGGCCTCTTCTTAATCATAGGGTCAGCGCTATCAAGGCAAACAATTGACCGGAGAGCAACGCGCTAATATGATTAAAATCACCGCCAAGCGCCCTAACGATAACAAATCGATTATCCTAGATGGTATTAAGAACGTATTATCACTCAACCACGACAAACTGCTTCGATTAGCCGGTTTATCTGCCAATATGCAGATGGCCTCTGTACCCGGTCATTTCAAGAAAATGCCAGAAATTATGTATTCGCCATCATCTAAACAAGGTGCAACAGTCAGACCGAAACCTGACGATGGCGCATGGAATCTTCGTGACGTTCAATTTATCAAGCCCGGCGAGGAATTGCGCAATTGGCTTGCCATTTCCTTTTTGCCAGATAGATTCTCAGAGCAAGCCAGAACGTTTCTCCGTGATTTAGCCAATCAAGCCCGAGTCCAAGGTATGAAAGTTGCACAAAATCTTCAGCAAAGAGTCGCGTCTATCCGATGGCGGAACGACAAACAGACTCGTGACGAGATCATTAGAATCCTTCAGGATGCAAAGAAATCAAATGCTGGGTTGCCCCAACTGGTTGTATTCATCGTTGAAGATGAAAACCGTAACCGTACAGCGAACGCCGACCAATACAATCTTGTTAAGCGAGTCATGGATACGGAAGTCGGGATCCTGTCTCAGTGTGTTCAAGCACCACATATTATGAGGATAAATAAGCAATATCTTGCAAACGTCGCTCTGAAACTTAACCTAAAACTCAATGGAACAAACTCGTCCGTCAATCTCCCTCGAATCGATAAAGTCCCTATGATGCTTATTGGTGCTGATGTCACTCATCCACAGCCTGGTTCAACCATGCCATCAATTGCAGCAGTTGTAGGATCTGTTGACAGATATGCTGCTCGGTATGCAGAGAGACACGTAGAACAATACAAAGAACCAACTACTGGCAAAAAGACTGGTCGTGGTAAAGAAGAAATTGATACTATGACCGACTTGGTAGTCGAACTCTTACAGGAATTCAAGCGTATCAACAAAATGTTGCCCAAAGTCATTATTATGTTCAGAGACGGTATCAGCGAAAGTCAATTTAAACCGTTGGCATTGGATAAAGAGCTTCCTTATATTAAGGCGGCGTGCGCCAAGGTGGAGCAGGATTATAAACCGACAATTACATATATTGTTGTTGGCAAAAGACACCACACTCGATTTTATCCCACAGATCCAAGGGATGCCGACAGAAAAGGAAATGTGAAACCTGGACTTATAGTCGAGCGAGAAATTACCCATCCGTACCTCTTTGATTTTTATCTTACCTCTCATTCTAGTCTTCAGGGAACTTCCCGCCCATGTCATTACCATGTCCTTTTCGATGAGAATAAATTTCAGGTAGACGAGATTCAGGACTTTACTAACAAGCTGTGCTACAACTTTCAGCGATCAACCAGAGCAGTTTCTATTCCTGCGCCTACTTACTACGCACATTGTGCAGCAAAGAGAGCACGATCGCATCTTAATGGACGTTTGCACATGACTAAACCAGAGTTCGCTAGTCGTTTTCCGATGTATTACGTCTAAGAATATGTTATATTATTTATACATGCATGTTATTTTCAATTTAGTACAATTTTGGTGTATATGGTATGGGTGTGTACATGTACGTAACATATCAATAAATATTTAGTTCGTTAGTTAAGTATGTCTGTGAGTTTGATTTAACTTTGTCCTTTTTCTTGATCTACCGCATCTTGTTTGGAGAAGCACGTCATTATTGGCAAATTAATTATTCCGATTATTTCCCTGCTTAGGAAAGTGATATTGCAAGTTTTAAAATGACAAAAAACATTGCGCATATGGCTCCCAGCTATCCTCTTGATCGGGAGGCAATAATTATGCAGACAATCGTAATTGTAATGAGCAGTCGCGTCAATGTTACAATAATCAGTTTTTATACAATGCTCGTTTATTAATGTAAAAGTTTACTGAAATCTGTATTATATCTGAAGAAAGAGCTGTATCGATACGTGTGGCATTCATTCGGCTTGACATGGGATACATTAGAGATATTCAGCATAATTTGTTAGAATATGATGCGTCCTGCAAGTTATAGTGACCAATTAACGCCTTATAATCAAATTATGAATTTATGTGATGCGTTTCAATATTTTCGAAAATGCTCTTAAGAAGCAGAAATGAGAAACTTTTACAGAGAAATTACTAGTTAAGCTAATTAGAGAGATGTGATTTGAATAAGACACAACTTATTCAGCATAAACAAAAATCGTATTTCCACCGGTAATTATGAATTGCAGTTTAAGAAAATTCTTCACGTCCGTAGCAACGTCGATATTAATGACCGTCTTGGTTTTCTCCGTGGCATGAGTGCGTCAATCCCAACACAATAATGTTAACAAATTTTAACGTAATAACAAATTTGGCAACTAAAAGGGGACGCAGAGATCTTCACCATGCGTATATTAAATCTGCTGATCCATTCTTACAAACCCGATGTCACTTACATCGTTACTCCAGTCTTTAGTGACCGAGTCAAGTACCAAAGGACGCTCGGTTGAATTGCATAAAAAGCAAAACAATCCGTCACTTTTAACAATTTTGTTTGCTTCAAGTGCTGCCGTGGTAACATATCTTGTCTTTGGGTCAAACGAATACAGATGGGATTTTAATTTGGTTCAGTAAAGTGAATGCGAGGTAAGAACTAAAATATTAGAGGTAGAGACAGTCTATAACGAGTTGAATAATGCCCTTTTAATTTGTTGTTAACTATTTCACACTAGAATGGGGGCATTCGGAACGAAGTGACATCTTACAGAAGCAACGGCAAAGCAATGCTTTTTGGGAAGTTTGGAGAAAAATGCGCGTAAGTCATCATTGATGATTCATGCGCATACACTTTGCTAATGTCTAACTGAATCATATTCTTTCTATGTTCTGTAAAGATTGGTTCATATTTTTTATTATATATTATCAATTATCGTCAAATAAGACCTCCAAATATGTGTAAGTTGACATTGAAGGTTCTTCAAATCTTTCTTCATTGACTACTTCGCAATAAACTATGAGTACCGTTCTCGCTGGTATAGCATTAGTTAATCAAAAGTCGTCTGCTTGCTTAATATAAATGTAACTTGATCAATTCATCACTGACACCTGATGGCGTTAGAACGCCCAAGTCTGTACAAAGTAGAGTGATATATTCGGGTGGAGTATAATCTACCGTTGGATTGTTCGACTAAGGTAATAAAAACATGAGCCGTTTAAGTTGATTATAAATCCGACTATAAACACAAACAAAGACTTTGTGATAAGTCACCTCATAATCTTCAATTTCGTCTGTTTCATCCTGGTCGACGTTGTTCCCGTGATTATCGTTTAGTTTCATGCGGCCGATTATGTTACTGAATCGATTATCCAAGTCTGGGAATGATAGCAATTCTGGTGTATGTGTTGGAAGATCGTATTGATTCAGAGGAAATAGACGAAGAAATTTGTAGCTAATGGATGAACAAAGAAGTATATTAGCTATCGCTAATAGTGCTATATCGAAAACAGCTAGTGTTTAGATACTGCGCTTACCTCTCAAGTACCGCATAAAAGGGTTTGTTGGCAGCTTTGGCAACTATGGCTAACTGATAGGTACCGATCTTGCAAAACGTTCGCATAAGTAAAGAAAGTATTACCAAAATTCTACTTAACGTACGAGAAAAGTCAATCCACTCACTGCGTTGATCAAGCCACCATTCTCGACAACGCCTTCTGCCCCAACGAAAACCGCATCTACTTTGCCAATGACATATCCAACAGCCGTATCTAGTATCACAGTGGCTGGGATGCCTGACTTGCGCAGTGTTTTGGCTGACCGCAGACTAATTTGTTGAGAGAAGTTTATTAGAAATTGATATAATAAGTAAAATGGATAAGACACATTTAATATAAAAACTTACCCTAGTGAACTAGGCCTTGATTCGGTGACGTACACTTTAAATCTCTTCTTACATGCTGCAGCACGCTGCAGCAATTGCATAACAACACGCGAGTATGAATGAATAAGTATTACCTAAAAGCAATTATATTGATAAGACTTCGCCGCTCATACATATCGTACAGCCGGATTAACGTAAATAACTATACAACTTACGGCATCATCTTTTATAAATTGAACACCCAATTCCGCCACTTTATGTCTAACTGCAATTGCTTTCTCCACGAGGACTTTGCCACTTTCCATTAGATGCTCTTTACACGCATCAAGGTTCTATACAGCAAACCATATTACATATTAGTAGTCTGTTATAAATCTCACTCCACGACACGTTATACATCATCACTAACCGTAACATCATGAGATGTCCGGGTGACAAATCTCAGAAATAAGTCTGTCCCCGCGGAAAGGGAGATCGGATTTCGTGTAGAGCTCTTCAATAAGTCACTTCCTTCCTCAAGAGATTTCATAAATTCGGAAAGTGTCGTCGCTTTGCTGTGCTTAATCAATTCGATTAAAGATTCTATAGCTGCTATCGGCATTGGAATATCCTGATTTAGAGACGTGAAAAGCAGTGTTAGATTGCAGCCCAAGTGTAGAGGTAAAAATGAATAAATTTGACAAGAAATTTACTGGATTGGCCTCCAAAAAGCCTTTATAGCAGTTTACAATATCGAATTGCTGTGAGTCATCTACATCTACAATGCTAGATATCGATTGTGGAGTAAGTGCTGGCAATCAAGAGTGATCAGGAAAGATCTTTTATTAATTCAAGTAATCAAAATTTAGCTCTTTAAGATCGTAATTTCTGACAAATCCATAATACTATTCTCTTCTCGGACAACGGCAGTAAAATACCTTTCGCTCATGGTCGCAAGAATGTTGGAATTAGTGTGTCACAAGGTGACTCAATATTTTATACACGTGTTTAATTGACCAATCAACACACTAATTTCTGTCGGCCAATCAGGCTTTATATTACGATGTTTAATTTACGCGTAATATTCATATTAATATTAATATTAATACTAAACCGCAAGCGCTGGCTATCTTATTACATTTGCAACATCATGTTTTTCTTACGTTCATCCCGTTATCCTAGAGACAAAATTAAGTAAGAATGTCCTTGCTCTTAACAATAAATGGTTCTACAAAAGTAGCTTTAAAAGTTAAAAGTGGAAAGCTGACAGTGAATTTAATAATAAGTGAGGAAATTAACGGGTGTTGAAACTATAACAAACAAATAGTGAAGCTGAATTGTTGATAGAGTAGGAAGAAAAAAATTTTTTTCAAAAATTGTATTGATGAACTTCCTGAACTTAGTGATCATGATAGTGTGATTGAACCTGCTATTTACGATGCAATTTTGATAATGAATTTTTCAAAAAAATTAAAGAGGGTAAAAAGATGTTGATTGGAGTCCTTATTCGGTAAAATATGCTGATTAGAGTACCGTTCCATTCAATGTAAATAGATATGGGTTGTCAAAAAATAAAAATAAAAGTAAGAACAGCTAGCTGAAGCCTTTATTGCAGATATTAATAAAGAAATTGCTGAACGAGCTCACAAAGCTAATTTAATAATAGGCTTTCCCTTTAATGTTACGGCTAATTCTCAGAACAGGCCGCAGGTAAAAAAGTAATATACCATGCCCGTGTAAGGCCCAAATTCACTTTTGTCCGTCATCATCTCGGTGCAAATTATACTATTTGAATGGCTCTAATTCTGACACAGATTGCGATTTTTTGAGAAAATATTATTAGCTCTTCCTACAATTTATAAATCCTGACATTTTACACTATAGACGAGATGACCTTTATTCCAACCGCATATGCGTTACTTTTCCAAACAATCATTTACTTTACAGATTCATATCGACCGAAAGATCTCAACTAGCTCTGCAGATTTGACAAACATGGTCAGAACATAGCAATATTTGTTGAACTTTTCCGAAACACAGATCGATGTCACAATCCTTTTGTGATATAAATTCTGAATGGTACAAAGGACTGATTAAACTAGATAATTGTCTCACTCAATTCCATCGTGGTTTCAGCAGACAATTTACCAATCATTAATCAAAAACTATTGAATTTATTCAACCAATAATTTATATTATAATACTAGAACACTTCATTACTCATCTACAATCTCTTCGGTTTCCTCGACAACCTCCTCGACCCATTCCTCAATGACTTCCACGCCCTCATCCTCTCTCGTATCAACCGGAGGCAACCCGGCAAGTTCTCTCTCTTCAGCCAATTCACTTTCAACACGTTTACGCCATGCATTCCATTCATCCATAAGGCGACGTCTGTGAGCTATTTGCTCTTTGGAAACAGATGTCTGGGCGAGAGCATCTTCCTCTTCAAATACTTTAGAATATTCACGAAGGTTCCTACGAACTTTCTTTTTTTGCTCGTTGGTAAGAAGGGATCGGGGACGGGGTCGCCAAAGGAGTTGTTTGAATTTATCAAGAAGATATCGCTGCATTTGGGTTCCTTTGAAGTCCCAGATTGTATAGCCAATCTCGGCCTGCGAATTATAATTAAATATACTTCATTTAATATTGACAAGAAACGAATATCAAATAAATATAAATTAAAAAAATATCTATATTATTCTGTAAGATACATTACCGAATGCCTCCACATACTAGAACTGGTAATAACGTATCTACCAGTTGGATCCCATTCGATATCGGTAACATTATAATGTTCTTGCACGCTCATCAACTGCAGAGATGCACCAGGATCCTGTCTAGCAGCTTCTTTCTGTTCTGCCGTTCCCTCAAAATCTAAATCCCAAAATTCCAAGTCAAAGTTTGACTGTGATCTTAACGTAGCTAATATCACGTGTCTACCACGAGGAGACCAGAAAATAGAATTCGTGGTTTTCTTATCGAGCGTTTCTGATAGGATAGGGAAGAGTCAAGTGAGATAATATATTACAGTGCTCATAAGAAAATATGTAAGTTGACCTGATCCTTACTGATAAGTTTAAAATTTGCTATTGACTGCGTGCCATTCACTGGTTTCGCCTTGTCGAGATAATAGAAAACTACGGATGTCTTTGGTGTGGTATTCGGTTGACCATATGTCGGATCATTTGTGGTTATTATAACAAACCTCTCTCCCTTCGGTTCCCATGCAAATGCGATGACAGTGTCTGGATAATTATGTCAAAACGTCATGAATGTTAGTAACAAGAACACTTTGCGATCTCATTTGCTGGTATGTAAACGCCTTGCTAAAGAACTCTTGGATAAAGCTTGATTGAATCCCCATATCCTGATTGCATCATCATGAATCCCATCGAATCTTGGTTGCAAACGTTCATGTTATTGTTTACGTACCTTTGACTTCTATTACTTCTACTGGAATATCCTTTTCACGGACTCGGAAAATCTCGAGATTAGCAAATTTTGACTTTTTCGTCTTCGTGTGACGGTCTACTTTTACACATAAGAAATCCCCATTTGACTGCCAATGCAGCTTACACTACACGCACATCGGAGTAATTACATTAGAATTTTTGGTCACAAACAGAGAGGTCTCATATCAGAAAAGAAACACTGATTTACACACATTGGCAACACTGAACAAATTCTTAGTCCTTATAATCTCCTTTGATGGAATACTCATTAGAGTAACACGAGCCGGCTGATTGCCTATCTCAGGTGTCCAAAAACTGATTATCTCTTCTCTAGCCTTCTTATCACCGTGCTTGTCTTTACTTTTATCCTTTTCTTTCTCCTTATCTCTTTCTGAAACAGGAGCCCATTCGAAATCAACAACTCCTTCAACCTTAATGCTCTTCCTGCCAACCAGACCCATCCCAGGAGTCTCATATATGGATATCTGTTGGCCGACAGTCACGCGCCCAAAATACTTATCGTTGTGCGACCATTTAAACATAGGCCATGTAATTTTATTTGAAGTGTCGTCGGGAGATGTTGAAGACGGGAAGGAACGAAGTAGAGCACCAAAATGGACGTCCCAGATAATCAACTGATTTCCTTCGTCCTCCATTCCAAAAGGCGAGCCTGGTATACCATTGTTGAGGGTGATCGGCTCGTTACTCCAAGTGACGAGATATCGCTCATTTGGAGAAAAGTCAATTAGTTTGACGCCCGGATGGACAAAGCGGATTATTTTATTCCAACTTGGTCCGCCCCAGAGTGCTATACCCTGCCGATGAAATGTAGCTAGATACGTGCCCAGTGGAGACCACTGAACGTATGTTTCTGTCCAATACTAGTAGATAGTCAGCATCATCGAGAGGAACATCTTGTTCTACCCGCCAATAAATAAATATTACAGCTTACTTGTCGTTTATGTATTTCTTCTGGTGGCTCAGTTCTGCGATTCCAATTGATGATCACTTCGTCTCCACGATGTAAGACAAATTGATCTCTTGCTTGCGGATCGGTAAGCCAACTTCGCAAATGTTCCTAATAATTATTGGTAGGTTAGAATTCGCAATCCTACGATATAAACAAGTCTTTGCTAAACAAACCCGCTCGGCAAACTTCTCTTCTTCTGGTTCTACGTATTCCTCTTTCAATTGCGAGTACTTTTCGATATCTGTAAAACGATTGATGGCCAGAATATGGGATCGATCCATTGGATGATTATTTAATTGTTTTACCGCAAGGTTTGCTTGTTCCGCAGTTTCCATCTCAATAAATAGAAAACTAAATAAGCGTTGTTCAGTTGAATGTGAGGATCATCCTGTTAACAGCCTTTTGATTGTGTCGATTCTGACTAAGTAACGCGACGACAAAAGATCTAATATTAGCATAATGTTTATTTACCCTTTAGAGGTTTGCTTCCCTGTCTCGGCATTTAGTTCCATCGGCATACTTATTCCTCCTTCTTTGATCTCCCCAACGCCAGCTGTGCGGAATATTTTTCGCATAGTTCTAAAGAGTTTATCTTTTTTACTTTCCTCGACTATTGGAACTTTGTCAACTACTATGATATTATCGAACCCCTCTTCAAATGGCACTTGGTACTTGGCTTCAATGTCTGAATAATCTAATTCATCCTCCGAAGCAGGGAGGTTATTAATGTCGAATGCTATCATTTTGATTATACTGCTGGTAAACCGCCGTAATAGTAAGGGAGAGAAAATTTCGAGAGTAAAAAAGATATTGGGTCCAATCGGAGATTTTTTCATCAAATGTCACGCGCCACGTAATAAATCGTGAATGTCAGCTACACCAAATCAATAAAAAAGACTGTGCATGCTAATTATTGCGCTCTGTAACGATAAATAGGCATTAGGAGAAAGAAGCGCAAATGTTGTAGTCTGCACGAAAAGAACCGAAAAATTATTATCAACGCACCATTCATAATTGCCCGTTTATTCAGGGAAGCGCACTATAGATACATGCATCATTCATCTTATCCTTCCTATCGATTTTTGTTAATAGTTTTCTATTGCTCTGGTAAATTTGCTTACATCTTGGATAACAAAATACGATTGCTAAATTTTCTGTCACGCGAACATACACATAATCAAGAACCGAAAAATTTCTTGACACGGAAATATTGCAAGAAACCTACCCATTAAGAAATATGTGCTAAGAACTATAATACTATGCTCAATTATATTTGGAATATTAACTTGTCCAGCAATTATTGTAATAGATACAAGTAAGATATTACTCATTGTGTCAGCGTATCTCAAACCGTTTAAATTTTAGTGCGTACTTGATCTCAGAAAAAGTATCGAGTTTAGTAAGACACCAATGAACAAATAATTAAAAAATAAAACTTCAACAAATTGGTATATCTTCAAGTAAGTATATTTATTAAGATTTAAATACTAATGAAAACACCGTGTTTCCCTGACTAAGTATTCCGGGTCTTAAGAACGATACTTGATAGGAGGATAGTACATGTATATCACGCGCTGTGTTATTAACGCAACTTTAATAAATTTCTCACTCGTATTCTTATATCAGAAAACTTATCAAACAGGCTAAGAAACAAGAAAACCCATAATCGTGGTAAAGTGTCCGCGTCTACCCACAGAATGACCGTGTGTTCGTTGCCCGTACGCTGTACAATCAACTCTCTTTATAACGACCGCCTCGGGCTGGGCAAAATCGGTCATTATATGCAGCGGCCGTTATATGCAGTGTAGTACATATAATAAATTATATAACGTTTTTGAAAACGGGCAGAGCACAGCGGTCGTTACTGTATAAAGCGCGAATCGTTATAAAGAAGGTCGTTATAAAGAGAGTCGACTGTATATCGGAAAAGTTATTATGCAACTTTAAAATAGGACTGCAGATTACAATCTTAGATGGTAAATATCAATAGCATATGTTGTTCATATTAAGTAGCGAAAGAGTGAGAGAAGGTATGCGGTAGCGTCTTCATTTATTATATAGGCTCGAAGAACGACTCTACTCTTACACGACCCGAATCATGAACAACAACGACGACTTTATCTACGTCGTCCGCATTAGCACAAGAATCAGACTACCTGGCTTTAAACAACGCAAGCCAGCACATTCGGGGAAGTCTGGGGTCCGTCGACCCTACTATATGATTGTAAGAGCGTTTCTGTAAGAATAAGTTAGGTTATCCAACCAGATATAAATAAGACTGTTTTAAACAGCCGTCTGGGTAGACATTTAGTAGCAAATACTACCATGGATATAATTTATCCCCTTAATTTAATAGTGGAAAGTCTGTTTCAATATTTATTATATGCCGTTATTTTAACTGACAGTTTCTAACTCTGATTTTACATATAGCATACTCGGCGCCCCTTTCGTCCTTATCAGCACCGCTTCTCCCATCATCATTGCCGGCAGCGTCAATAGCAACATTAGTTACTACAGCGAGGTACCGTTCACCGACACCTTACCCAGAAGAGTATGATTTATGCAAGCTGGAGGAGGAACAGCGTGAAGCTGATATAAATTTTGTTTTACTATTTCAAAAGAGGTTGAATTGTGAAAGTAAAAAAAAAGACATGCAATTAGTTTTAAAAAAATTACTTGTGATTAGTGTTTTTAGGGGAAGGTTTTTTTTTAAAAAAAAAGACTTGTAATTAGTTTTCTAAAAAAAGAGTATTGTAAGAAAGTGATGTTAATTACGTTGGCAATCGAAATTTTAAGATATTCGACACAATTATCTATAAACTGTATGCACGTTAACATTAAACTAGCAGGTAAACTTGCATTCTGTCGAGGACTGAGCAACAATAAAGTCGTCTTCGCTGGTAAAATCCACTCGCCAATTTTAAATAAAGTGTCTCGTAATAACTCATCGGTTCGTTTAAGCTTAGTATTAACGTTGAACTTCTCAGAAACGTTAAGTATAAAACAGAGAATTTAAACTTGAACATTTACTCATATTCTAACAGACTTGTAAGTTTCGAAATGCAAGCATATAAAGGAATTCATTAAAATGTACTTACACAGACTCTTTATATTTCAAGTGGCAAAGGAAGCGAGTTAGCCGTAAGGCAGCCCAGAGTGAGAAACTATCATAGTACTATTTTGTAAGTCGCATAATTCGTTTGTTTACATCTTTTGTTCCTTACTACAATACATTCGGATTGATCAAAATCGCAAAACAATAAATAAATGGTGCTTGGAGGCAAAACATTGGCTTTCGGAAATATTTAAACTTTACGGGTAATCAGGGTTTATGATACACTGGATGCAGGAAATTTTCCGAATAAATAATGCAAATATTCTGAATTTTAGATCCAATTAATTCTAATTGAGTTTATTTGAGCTTTAGACAAACCAAAAATTTTTACTAATGCGCATATTTTAGTAATAATTAATAAGTTTACACGTTACAGAAATTTTTTAAGGTAAAATAACGATTTTTGTATTTGTTAAGCACTACCGTTGTTACTATTACGTTCTTTTTAAACAAAGTTAAATAATAATTGGATCTGTAAAAATTTATGTGTAATAAATCATTATTAAATTATATACTTAAATATGTATTACTATATACAAAGTCAAATTCACTCTCGCTTTAACAAAAATATTTATAAAAAGACATTTTACTTTAATAAATTTGATTAACAAACAAACTTTGGTTTGTTACTGTGTATAAATATAATTACTACTTTCATCTTCGAGCAATTTTTGTAGTTGTCTCCCCAGTAATAAACTGCTTTTTTTCTTGACCGTGCTATTCAGAAAAGCGTTTGCATTATTCGATTGCCTAGATCTTTAAAAAAAAGAGAGGGTGGGGGGTAAGAACGAATTCCTAACAAGGGAGTGAGTGAACGAATCATGTTTGAAGAGCATCGAGGCTACCCAAAGAACTATACTTAATAAATATACCACACAACGCC